CTCATCTCTATGTATAAGCTATGTATTCTCCATTTCTTTTGTCTTAGTGAACTATTTGATTGATTCCCTCCCGTGGACGTAGATCCAGTTGGATCGAACCACGTAAACGATCTGTGTTTGCTTGTGTTTTTTGCGTCTCATTTCTATGTCAGGAAGTACATATCTCACAACACATCTAATTTTCTTTTATAAGCTATAAGATTATCATTTTATTGAACCAATCCATCACCAACTTAACACTTAGCATAATAAAGTCATAATATAAAAGCAATGCTATGGTCCGCTCAAACAGAATCGGGAGACAAGAAGGGTGGATAGAGTCCAATGTATTGACTGACAAATTTAAACTGTTGGCAAACATAGCAAATTTTCACAAATTGACATACATCCCTTTGTAACTTTGGCCAATAGAATCTAGCCTGTAATTATTGTAAAGTTTTCTGACTTACGGTATGAGCAGGTAGATCACAACCATGGCATTTCTGAAGAGTGGTGGAGTGAAATTTTTTATATGCATATTTAATTTCCTTAAAAAAGAAAGTCATTCCCAATCGAATAATCTCTAGACGGTGAATGATTAGTACAAGTTGGGTTGGCGAAATCAGGGTCACTAGTGGCTCATGCAGTGTCTCAAAGCTGGTTATACTCTTTTGCACGACTACAAGTAGACTGTCACACATACTTAGAGCTACATGATTGCAATTGCTAGCTTGGTGTTTCAAGACAAGGTGAAGTTTTGTAGAAATACTACCCATTTTGTGTGTTTTTGATTTGAGGTTGTGCTGAGATTGGAGAAATTGCAATGGTTGATAACACTAAGAAGCACAAAAACTTGGCAGAGTAGATGGTGCTCCCACTGACTTAAGGCTCTAATAACTGCATACAACTTTTATTCATAGGTAGTCCGTTTTTCGCTGTTGTACTGTGTTTTTCTGTAAAGAATTCTATGGGTCTCCCTTCCTGGGTAAGTACTGCTCCTATTCCAATGATTGATGCATCGATCTCTACTTGCAAAGGCTTTTCAAATTTGGAATAACCAAAATCAGGGCAGAACCGAGGCAGTCTTTTAATTGATCAAAGAAAGATTGCTGTTCCATAGTCCAAATAAAAAACCTTTGATTTCAAACAATTTGTAGTGGGTGCTGCTCTAGAGCTAAAATTTCACATGAAACGCTTGTAGAAATTGGCAAGCCCATGAAGGCTATGGACTTCCAGGATTGAGGTGGGAGTTGGCCACAATGGAATGGTCTTAATTTTCTTTGGGTCAATATGGACACCACCATTGACAAAAAGGAATCCCAGAAATTGAACTTCAATTAAGGAGAATATTTTTGGAGATTGATATGTAACTTATTATCCCATGTAGTTGTCAATAATATCTTAAGTTGATAAAGATTATCATCTACGTTGGCACTATATTTACAATGTCATCAAAGTAAATAGCACAAAACTTAGCTAGGAAGGCTTAATTACCATATTCATTAGCCGCATGAAGGTGCTCAAAGCATTGCAAAGCCCAAATGACATAACCAGCCATTCATATAATCCTTCTCAAGGTTTGAAGTTGCTTTTCATTCGTCTCCTAGTTTGATATGAATTAAGTGGTAATCACTGAGAGATCAAGCTGGGAGAAAACCAAAGCTCCTGATAGTTTGTCCAATTGTTCGTCCCGTCAAGAGATAGGAAAATTAAATTTGATAGTGATTTATTAATAGCTTGGCTATCAATGCATATACTTCAGGGGCCATCTTTTTAGGAACAATCAGTGCGGGAACTATATAGGGGTTTAGATCGCGTCTGATTAACAATTTTTGCAACAAGTCGTCTATAATTTCTTGTAAGGTCTGATGTTCTTTAGGACTCATCCGATGATGTGGTTGATTAGATAAGTTAATCCAGGAGCAGAATGAAATTGGTGTTGCACAACTCGCATGTGTGGACGTTCAATGGGTGGTTCAGGTGGAGCAATGTCAGGAAATTGTTAGTGGAGTTGCTGAATTGCTGGTGGTAGTTCAATGGATTATGGGTTCTATTCTGGAACAAGTAAAGCCCAAGCTCGTTTTTCTGTTTTGCGCATTGAAAACCACAAGGACTTAGTGATATTTATGTATACAAACTTATTTTCTTTAGTGTGCTTAATTGGGGGAGATGGCGGCAACCCTGCCTTTCCATTCAAGAGCCCATATCAAATAACGCGGTCTCCAAAGAATTAAGTGACACATGCTTATATTTATAACGTCACAAATAACTTCATGAATAATTTTTTGCCCACAGAAAAAATACCCTTGCCCAATTCTGTGCCTTTCTTTATTTAGTTGATCTTATAAAGGCTGAGATGTTTGGTAATTTTAATTGAAGGGCCTTCACTGCTTTGAGAGCAATAAAATCCTCAGTACACACAATATTGACAATGAGTTTGGATATCTTTCCCCTAATTATGCATCTAGTTCAAAAAATGGCATGATGCTGTGAATGCAGAGGCTGTTTTGAAGCTAATAAAACCTTCTCCTTAACACAAGTGAGAAATTTGCCACCATCACTGGGTACATCTTCAAATTTCTCTGAAACCACATTCTTCAAGCTTATCTAGTTCGTGGAAATATTGCCAACAAGCCTGAGCTTATTTGTATGAAAAGTTTTGCCAATGTTTTACATCCTTTGATATGTTAGGAGAATTTAGGTGCAAGCATCACGTTTGTAGCTGTGTGAATCATTCAGAAAAATTAGTATTTTTTTTTTTGAGATGGTTGTTTCTCTCTGCAGATTCCTATGGCCAATGACAGTTTATTTTAGAGGATTTTCCCAGTATTACGGTCAAAATGCATGCTTGTTATACTATGATTTTTAACTGCCTCCAAATCATTTTTTATAACATTCTATGTTGCCTAGAGTAATGCTTATATTTGTGGTTTCATGAAAAGAACAATCGTGGAAAACATGAAGCGGAAATTGTGTTGAAGGCAATGGGACAGGCGATTAGCAAGGCCGTTGTAATTGCAGAGATCCTAAAGGTTGGTAATGGTATTTGTTAATGCCATCATTACTCTTCTGGCTATGAGATGGCAATTCTGTGGGAAAAATGACTTATTTTGTTGAGCAGAAAAGAAATCCTGGATTGCACCAAGATTCAATTATCAGTTCAGTCAGCATTACAGATTTATGGGAACCTCTTGAGGATGGCCTTTTACCGTAAGTTTCTTCTTTTACTTTGTTAAGAGGCAGTTTAATCTTGTTGATGCCAGTTAAAAATGTATGCTTTTTCTTTCTACAGATTGGAAACAACAAGGCATGTCTCAATGATTTCAATCTTTTTGTCAACTAAGGTGCTTAACAAGAATTCTCCTGGGTAAGCTTTTATGATAGCATATTAATGTTTTCTCTAGTAATCGTATTCGGTTGGTTTCTGAAGGTATATAAAACCCCCAAAGCTGTAAGAAATAGATTGCATAATACTCTATGGTCTTTTTAATTCTGCAGGTATCAGCCCCCATTACTATCAGAACAGGCGAAGCAACCAAAATATCAGTGGCCTACGTATTCTAATCAGCTTCCAAGACAATCACCTGTTCAATACGATGGTGGTGTGTATTGTTAATGCTGTAACTTGTTTTATTGAACCCCTCCTTAACATGATTTGTTGATTATTTACTTTAATTTTTTGTATTTTTTCACTAATTATTTTATTAATTGGCCTAAAGATTCATTTGGGCAAGGACGTAGAGGAAGAGGAAGTGGATGGGTCCGAGGCGGATATAGAGAACATGGAGGGTATGAAGATCATGAAGGGTATGGTGGATATACAAACAACCGGGGATATCCAAGCAAACAAGGATATGCAAACAACCAAAAATATCCAAGCAACCAGGGACATGCAGACAATCAAGGTATTAAGTGATCTTGTCTGCTGTAATTAATTTTTTGAGCTACATATCACCGGAGTATATGCATGGTTAAAATAGCTATGTTACTCAACCTAGTAGTATGAGAATTTGAAACATGGTAATTGACACCCCCTCTTATGTACATATTGACACAAATTAGGCGATCTTTAGTTTTTTCATGTTTTTTCCTTAACATTATGTAAAGCATGAACAACTGGAGTGCTGTTTATTGTCCGATATACGGAAACTCTAGCATTTACCATGTTTTTTTAATTTTTTTAAGAGAATTTTGACAATTCTTGGACACATCTTGGACAGTGTAGCAAGTGCTATGCACAAACTATTTACAAAATATAACTAAAGTGTCAATCAAATCTATATTTTCTTAGGTTCAAACTCTTTCTTCATCTGTTCACTCTTTATTAGTCTGTTACGCCTGTAAGTGGGCCGGTTCCTCCTAGACCGGTCAAGATCCACCCAACTGGCCCTCCACAACAGCAGGTTGGCTGGTCTTTCTCGCATGAAGGAGAGGGGCGACAATTTACTGCGGCAGAAGATGGCAGGGAGAAAGTAGGGTCCACGAGGGCCTTAATCACATACTCAAGGAGGAGAAATTAAAAGATTTTAGAGGAAAAATTGGAAAGGAAAGTTTGAAATATTGTGGGAGGATTCTATTAAAAGGAGGACCTAGGGTTTGTTCTTTTTTATGCATGTTTTTGTTGGTTCTTGTTCTCTTTTCTTTTGGTGGTGTTTCTAGCGACGTCTAGGGTTGTGAGAGAGCTGATCTACCTTTCGGAAAGTAGATCATTATTGTATCTTGCTTGTTTTAATTTGTTTTTCGTAAGAGCATCCCTCATTTGAGTTTTTCCATCTATCTATTGCAATTCTTAATTGTTGCTTGTTGAATTTTGGTTCCATAGCGTATCAAATTGGTATCAGAGGGGAGTATTAGTATCAATTTGATGATCTTTAGGAGGGGAGTATTCTTAGGCTTGTAAGTGGACAAATCCCTTCTGAACCAATCTAGATCCACCCAATCGGCCCGCCACAACAACAGAAGGGCCTGTCTTTCTTGCGTGAAGGAGAGGGGTGGCGATTTGCCGTGGCATAAGAAGGCAGGGAGAAGGTGGGGTCCACGAGGGCTTTAATCACATACTCAAGGAGGAGAAATTAAAGGGGAGGACATAGGGTTTGTTTTTTATTATGCATATTTTTGTTGGTTGTTGTACTATTTTCTTTTGGTGGTTTTCCTAGCGACATCTAGGATTATGGGAGAGTTGATCTACCTCTCGAAAAGTAAATCATCATTTGTTTTTTCATAACATCAGCCCTTGTTTGAGTTTTTCCATCTATCTGTCGTTTCATTGTTGGTTCTTGCTGATTTTGGGTTTTGGAGTGTATCAAATTGGTATCAGAGCCTAGATCTTGGTGGGATGACACCGGGGATGTAAGAAAGGTTCACCACCATGGAGGATAAGTTTTTTCTATTGAAATTCGAATGGAGGATTGATTTGGAGCATAGGAGAAATGCGAGAGATGATGAAGATTTTCATGGAGATGCAATCCAAGGTCGTGTTGATCGCTCCAGTTGCAAACCCTAACCAATGGTTGATCAGAAAATCATTTGTCAGGTCAAAAGGGAAGGAGATTGAACTAGAAGACAATGATGAAGACATCATCTACCAACGAGAGCGTCCTCCTAGAACTCTTAGAGGAGGGGGAGTGGAGACTCTTGATGGAGGGGGGTGGGCCGAAAATTGGAAGGATGATGTAAGGGGCACGAAAGAGCACAATGGAGGAAGGAGGGGATTGGGAGTTGGGTATGCCTATGACCGAAGGAGGGATTTCCACCCTAGATATAATGGGGGGAAATACTAGGGTGGAAATCCCAAAGGAAGAGGAGGTTGTGGTGGAAATGCAAGGGTCAGAAAACTAAAGATATCAATCTTCGAAGGGGAGGATGCATACGAGTGGGTGTATTTAATGGAGTGATACTTTTCAATCAATGAGTTAAATGAGAAGGAGAAGCTCATGACAGCAGGATTATGCTTGGAGAGAAAGGATTTAGCAAGGTTTTAGTGGGTGAAGGCAATGTATCTCATGCACTCATGGGAGGAGTTTAAGGATTTCTTGTTGGAGCGTTTCCAAACCATTCGAGAAAGAGACCTACATGTGTAATCTATGCTCTGAATCAGGATGGGACGGTTACGCAATACTGGGAGAGGTTTGAGCTCTTGTCAGGGAGGTTGAAGGAAATTTCTAAAGCAGGGCTGGAAGGGAATTTCTAAAGCAGGGCTGGAAGGGAATTTCTACAGCAAGACTGGAAGGGAATTTCTACAGCAAGACTGGAAGAGAACTTCTTCAAAGGCCTAAAGCCCGACATATGGACAACCATCCGCCTCTTGCGGCCACATAGATTAAGCGAAATGATGAGCTCGCCTAGATGATGAAGGATAAGAAACGGGTGAAAAAGACCTTGACAGCCATGATAACCTACACAGTCTTATTTCAGAAAGATATGCCAAAGGAGAAGAATATACAGAGTCGTCCCGGGGATAATTTCAAGTTCCCCACAAATGCAAAAGTGCGGGATAAAAGGGCGATAAGATTATGTTTCTGTTGCTACGAGAGATATGCCTCAGGCCACCGTTGCATGGAGCACGCCCTTCAGATCGTTTTAGTTCAAGAGGAGAATACATAGAGTGGGGAATTCGAAGAGGATACATTGGAGGAGCATTTGCATTTGGATGTAGTGGAGGTGTCCCTCAATTCGGGTGGAGGGATTTACCCCGAAGCATAAAGGTGAGAGGGTGGATCAGGGAACAACCGATTGTGTTGTTAATAGATAATGGAGCCACACATAATTTTATGTCAAATCAGGTCGTGGAGATGCTAGAATTGGAGCTGGTGACTACAGAGAGCTTCAGCATCATGATGGGGACGTGGAAGGTGGAGGAAAGTCTGAGAATTTGTAAGGTGTTGGTTCTGACACTACACGACCTACAGGTTGTGGAGGACTTCCTTCCCTTAGATATGGGCAACACATATGTGATTCTGGGGATGAAGTGATTGTGAATGCTTGCGGAGATTAAGGTGGATTGGGTGTCTTTGATGATGGAATTCCAAGTAGAGGGTGGGAAGGTGATGCTGAGAGGAAATGCAAGTTCATACAAAAGTATGGTGTCGCTCAAAATCATGATCAAGTCGATTCGAGGAGCAAGGTTGGGCTACTTGGTGGAGTTGCAGTGAGGAGATTCAAGATTTAGAGTTGACAGAGTTTTCTGAAGGCCTTCATTTGAGTTGAATTAAAATTGAATACATGGAATGTAATTTTAGTAATAGTAGCTCTAGTGAAAGAAATGTAACTTTGGGTGATCAAATTATTAAAAGGTGTGAACGATTTAGATATCTCTGGTCTGTTATTCAAAGCAATAGTGATATAGATGGGGATGTTAATAGTAGAATTCAAGTTGTTTGGTTGAAATGGAGGAATGCTTCGGGCCTTTTGTGTGATAGAAAAGTACCACTTAGACTGAAAGAAAAATTTTATGAGAGAGTGGTGAGACTTGCAATGCTCTATGTCGCTAAATGTTGGCCTTTAAAAGAGAAGCATAATACTAAGTTAATTGTTGTCGAGATGAGAATGATTAGGTGGATGAGTGGCTTTACACTTAGAGACAAAATGAGAAATGAATATATCCATGATAGGGTTGGTGTAGCTCCAGTGACGGACAAAATTAGAGAGATTTGTCTTAGATTGTTTGATCACATTAAACGCCGACCATCTGAGGATCCGATTAGGAGAGTAGATGTTTTAGATTCGACTTATGTTAAGAAAGACAGAGGTAGACCTAGGAAGACTTTGGCTTATTGTATAAAAAATGATCTTAATTTATTGGAACTAAATGAAAATATGACACTAAATAGGATGCAATGGAGAAAAAGAATTCATGTAGTCGACCCCACGTAATGGGATTAAGGCTTTGTCGTCGTTGTTGTTGTAGAGTTTTCTGAAGGGGTCCAGTAGCTCCTACAGCAGTTCACGGATATCTTCTAATAGCCAAGCGGGTTACCCCTCTCGAGGGACGATGAGCACGCAATTACATTAAAGAAGGGTGTTTCCTCTATCAGTGTCAGACCATACAGATATCTCCCGATTCAGAAGGATGAAATAGAGAAGTAGATTTGAGAGATGCTCGAGGCAGGGATTATCAGACTTAGTGTGAGTTCTTTTTCCAATCCAATCCTGTTGATGGAGAAAAAATATAAAAGTTTGAGATTCTACGTGGACTACGTGCTTTGAACATGGAGACGGTGCTGGACAAGTTTCTTATTCCTGTGATTGATGAGTTACTAGATGAGCTTTATGGGGCAGTTATTTCTCAAAAATTGATCTTAAGTTGGGATACCCCTAGATCAGGATGAATCAAGCAGATGTGTACAAGACGACGTTCAGAACACACGAAGGACATTATAAGTTCTTAGTGATGTTGTTTGGCCTCACCAACACCCCGACAACATTTCAGTCCCTCATGAATAGGGTTTTTCAACCTTACATCTGGAAAATTGTTCTGGCCTTCTTTGATGACATTGTGATTTACAATTGTACAGACACTGAGCATGTGAGGCACCTAAGGAAAGTCCTGTTGAGGGAGCACCAGTTGTATGCCAACTTGAAGAAATGTTCCTTTGCACAGTTACAGGTGGAGTACAAGGGACATGTGATGACCAAAATGGGAGTAGCAATGGATCAGTTCAAGATCGAGCTATCATGGATTGGCCCTTGTCAAGGAGTTTGAAAGAGTTGAGAGGATTCCTGCATCTCACTGGTTACTACCAGAAGCTCTTGAGAGTATATGACACGATAACACAGTCATTGATGGAACAATTGAAGAAGACAATTTCAAATGTGAGGAACCAACAACACAGACATTTGAACATCTAAAGAGTCATTACCAACATCCCAATATTAACACTTCTATATTTCAGTAAACCATTTGTGG